CCCAACATCGAAGCAGCACCCACGGACCTCCCAATCAATGTTGGCCCACCAACAATTGAAGAAATCAGCATGGCCGTCAGGCATACCAAGAGTGGCAAAGCAGCAAGACCAGACAAAATTTTAGCAGAGGTACTGAAAGCAGACGTAGCGGTAACTGCAAAGATACTCCACATTCTCTTCAATAAGATTTACGATGAGTAACAAGTACCAACAGACTGGAAAGAAGAACATCTGATTACGATACCAAAGAAAGGCGATCTCAGCAAGTGTGATAACTACAGGGGCATCACTCTTCTCTCAATACCGGGAAAAGTCTTCAACAGGATATTGTTAAACAGGATGAAGGATTGCGTAGACGCCCAACTTCGAGACCAACAAGCAGGATTCCGTAAGGATCGATCGTGTACAAATCAAATCGCAACTCAACGGATAATTGTGGAACAATCAATTGAATGGAATTCATCACTCTACATCAACTTCATTGACTACGAAAAGGCATTTGATAGCGTGGACAGAAAAACACTATGGAAACTTCCTCGACACTACGGCGTGCCTCAGAAGATAGTCAATATCATACGGAACTCATATGATGGATTACACTGCAAAATTGTGCATGGAGGACAGTTGACATAGTCGTTCGAAGTGACGATCGGTGTTAGGCAAGGTTGCTTACTCTCACCCTTTCTCTTTCTCCTGATGATCGACTGGATCATGAAGTCGTCAACATCTGAAGGGAAGCACGAAATACAGTGTACATCTAGGATGCAGTTGGACGATCTAGACTTCGCAGATGATCTGGTCATTCTATCGCAATCGCGACAACAAATGCAGGAGAAGACGAACAGTGTGTAAGCGGCCTCAGCAACAGTAGGTCTCAATATACACAAAGGGAAAAGCAAGATTCTCCAATACAACACAACATGCACCAATCCAATCACAATTGACGGAGAAGATTTGGAAGATGTTAAAACTTTTACACATTTGGGCAGCATCACTGATGAACAGGGTGGATCTGATGCAGATGTGAAGGCGCGGATCGGCAGAACAAGAGCAGCATATTTACAACTGAGGAACATCTGGAACTCAAAGCAACGGTCAACCAACACCAAGGTCAGGATTTTCAGTACAAATGTCAAGACAGTTCTACTGTATGGAACGGAAACTTGGAGAACTACGAAAGCAATCATCCAGAAGATACAGGTGTTTATTAATGACCTATGAAAATAGTCAATGAACTGACATCACGTTGAAATCACATACTGAATTTTTCGTCTGTGTATCATGAACATAACATTTACCTAACGACGGCATTCTTTTATTACTGCATGTGACGTCATGCAGGTTTCATTTCCAGTTGTACCAGCTTCAGTTAATCAATTTCATACCACTTTCTGTCAACTTACTTTTATACAAACTAAACTGAACAAAAATACTTGTGCGATGAACAGAAGCAAAATCAGTGTTACAATTATTCACAGAATCACTGTGAATAACTACTGAAGCATATGAATTCTTATGAAGAACTGCTTGAGGCTTGATATTCATTTAAAGTAGGTAATTGATTAGTATTTCATAAAATGTTTAGTTCAACTGATTTCAAATAAAAACAGATCATTTTGTCGCACGCTACCGAAACAGACTTTCGTCATTTAAATTTTAAGCTTTTCAAACACAAAACGGGTAAATGGATTTCTGATTCTTCAAACATTTTTTTCTCTCCATAGTAAAACATTCAAGTTTGAATTAAAATCAACTTAAATCCATTTATAATATCCCCGTTAGGTTTTTAGCAACATGCCTACATTTAAGCCTCTACAAGTTTAATCTAGTGACTTCTATCTGAAGTGTGTGCTGATGATGTCGTTCAGAATAACAATGAAAACTCCATTGCCATACCATCCAGCTCAGAGAAATAAACTCCATCAAAATTATCCACCTGAACCACAAATCGTCTCCTCTACTGCTTCAATTAATTTACTTTACAGACGGTTTACTAAAAGCAGTAGTATATTATCTATATTTTCCGATTATATTTATCGTGTCTGTATGATAGTGTTTACTTGTTCAGTTGTTTCAGTTTATTTATATGTCTCCAAAACTGACACGGCTTTTAGTTGCTTAAACCATGTAATATTTAGTTCTATTATATTTGTATCGCGTTCCTTGGGTCGATTGGCATACGTGAAAACTCGAACGATCCAAATGGTGTATTATTAGCTGTTTAAGGGATATATATTTTTCTCGTCACTTAAGCTCACCAGTTTCTTTGAATGTTAGTTTCTTCATATCAATGTCGATTAGTATTTAAGCTCAACAATTACTTCAATCGTCAAAACTAACTGATCAGATACTATGATGATCGGCTAATGTGGTTCATTAACAAGTATTGGCAGCATGAAAACGCTCTTGTGTAATGTCTGTTAAAAAAATCAACCTTTGATCGGGTTCAGACTGTTCGTCAGGCAGTGCTACGTATTTCTCGTAAACTAATTTTGAAACTACCCGATGCTAGCCTTTTTGGTCTAGCAACCACATTTGCACCTTCGATTTCGATTATATGACTTACCTTAGGTTTGCTTCTGAAAAACTGAGTTCGGTTTGGCTAGATTTCGAAATCGCGCGAGTACTTTTTGGAATTTCGCAATTGCTACTGGTGGAGGTTTTATCAAATTTAGAGACTTTTTTACCATTTGTGTAACACGAGGTTTATTTCAGTGTCAAACGTCGTTTAATAGCGTCGACTAGAAATTCATATCTCACTAAAAAATGTAATTCCCCATATTTCCAGATTTAGATCAGTTACAGTGAAAGAGCAGAGAAATGACTCCTCAAACCGCAAACTAAGAGTCAAAGACTTTTGCTCAAACATAGCGATTTTAGTTTTGTTGGCGTCTTAAACTGTAACTGTGGACGTTTCTCTATCCAGAACACTTTCGTTCCGAGAGATGGTACTGACAGTAGCATCAGTATCAACCAAAACGTCTGCGCTTGTGTTTCTGTCTCCAGAGTAAGACATGTTATGTGGATCTTGGTCGTTGTGGTGACCAGCAAGATCAAACAGTTCTTTGATTAAACAATATCTACCGATGAACTGATTTCAGTATGTCAAGGTACTGTGACGACTCTATCTGTAGTCCTTCATGGGTTACCGACAGTCTTAAGTTCGGATTGAGAAGAAAGGGGAGGCATGTTGTCATCAACTCCATGCTTAACAACCCATCTTGTTGAAAAAATGCTGGCTATCGAATATCACTTAGACCATGTAAATCCATCCTTGTGAGTCGGGCACCATCTTCATTTGAACGACTTGTGAAGCTTCATGGAGATTGCCGACATTTTTCTGAAGTCATGATTCTTACATCTCAAGCAAAAATTGATATAAATGCATCTAATGTCTTAACAGAAAATAAAAACCGAGAGATCAAGCCGAATGGCTGCGGAAATGACGAGATACAACTTGTCAGTTCTCAAGATAAATGAAACCCGTAGGACGCAAGCTGTTCGGTAAGTGATTAGATAGGAGAAATATGCTTTCACACCCTGGTCATAGATGAAAATAAAGCGGTACGTTCAGCTCCGTCATTACTGACCTCTGAATATTTGTGTTTACTCTAATTTATTTCTGCATTCATCGATAGGTAATAATTTTTATCTTAGTAAATGGGATCATGTCACTTCCGAATCTCAAAAAATAATTGTTTTTTTGTTTACTGGTGCCTATGGACTCAAATCAAAGTCATTATATTTCAATTGATGCTGCTTAAAACATTCCTAAACGTTAAAGTGTTCCCTTAATCCTTCATAAGAAAACACATACAATTTAGATTAGTACTTCTCTAGCACATTCACTGTTTATCCTGTTATATATACATATGTTTTCTGCTCATATATTGATACTGATTTACGGTATAGAATAGACAATGTATTTTGATGCCGATGAATTCAAGAGACTACACAACAACTATTTACTCGACTACAAACTGTAATACTCGAAAAAATAATATTTTGATCATTGTGGACACATTTTTATTGGTGAACAATACACCTCAATTGAACCGAGAGTTCCTATTTACAAATATCACCCGAACACAAATATTTTAAACTTATTTGATTGACATGATTATTTTTTTAATAAATTATCGACTGGTATTCATTTATCACTCCTTGGCATTCATTGCGAACTAAATATATGTTTAAACTCCGCCATGAGTCCCTCTGAGGGCCACTACCGGTCCCAAGCCCGGATAAAGGAGGAGAGTTGGGTATGTGGTTAGCGACCCCAACTCGTAAAAAACTAACTCGCTAAAAATCGCTAACCAGAAAAAAATATTCAAACCCTTTAAACTCTGTCCTGGGAGTTAGAAGGTCTTCAATTAGAAGAGATATGACGCCTCATGGTGAACGACAAGTTCCTTTGGAAGTCACGATACCGATGCCCCTTCTGATAACCAGAGCAACCATTTATTTAGGTATATGGAATGTTCGTACAATGTGGGAAACCGGGAGAGTCTTCCAAATTGCTGCAACTATACGTTCGACTTTATTATACCACAGTGATTCACTCGTATCTGTATACAGAGTTAGCAATTATTACAAGCTCAAACGATATGTAGAAATAATTAATTGATACTCTAAAATGAAAATCAGTCTTCTAATTGTGCGATAACATTTTTATTAGGTTTAAGGTACAGTGATTACTGTACCTAAAATGGAAAACCGTGAATGCTTCGAGAAATAGTTCACAATTGTTAAAAGTTCACTTTCAATGAAATGCATTTTCTTCCTTTTTATTACAATCATATTGAACGATTAGGAAATCATCTGATAGATTTTATTTTATTGAAATAAATTTTCTAATGTAAAAATGTTAATTTTGACATCCAATGAAAACAATGCACCATTAACAGTTAATTAAAAGATTATTCTAGGCAACATAATGTTTGTTCATGAACATATAAGCATACATTTTGTATTGCAAATAAACTGCTTACTTATTTTAGATAACTGCCATTCTTATCCAAAAATGTTCTCATCAATAGAGGTCATGAATTCAAATTAACGGTTAATAAATATCAGCCCACCTCATCGCAACTTACAAAAATGTTGGATAACAATGAGTTCATCTACCACAATTACTGTTTATCAATGATCAAATAATTTTATCAAACTAGATCTTTCTAATGGTTACTTTGAATCATTGGACCAGAAACAAACAAACATACACCTGAAAAATCTATATAAACCTAACAAGTTCTGGTAATATTGTTTCACCATTTTGAGCTAGAAAATGAGGTGAGTGTTGACTGAACTATATGGATTTTGGTCTGATTCAACGAGATAACATTGTTTTCTTCATATCAACCATTTTAGATATACTAATCTATCTGTTCTGTTGATACCGGTTTATTTGGTCGTCATCATGCTTTCCAAATTCTTCGACTGTCAAGATATCTGCGAAAACCCTGGGTTAGCGACATATGAAAATGTGACTTCAGAAAACGGTTCATATAAATATGTAAGTATACAGTCGGATTCTAATGCACATACACAGCCTCATCATTATTATTACTCACGAACAATACGTCACAATCAGACGTATCCAGTTGCTAGTGACAGTTTTAAAAAATTTAGTACCACTCAGGTGAGTTGACTACATTTTGTAATGGAATTACTAATTCTTATGTTTGCATTTTTTAAGAATGTTATACCGAAATTTTCGTTTAAATATTACGGTAATAACGTCACCAAATTTCAGATTTCTCGTGATGGTAAGATAATTTTTTTTCACTTAAAATTGTTATTGAGTTTTGTTAATCACAATTCATTCCATGAATCAAGTTTGCTATATAGTCTTCAGTGAATCAGTTTTATGCTTTTTCTGACATTCAAAACTTGATAGATTCCTTTTCTTCTTGTTGAACTTTTCAAACTTTCGATTTCTTACAGCAAACTAATTACAGTTCATGAAATTCATTTTTGTCTCCAGTTCATTTCAAACTATTTCATTCATCCATTATAGAATTTCAATTAAATTGTATGCTTTCATCAAATAAACACAGGTTATATAGAAATATTCGGACAAGGAAACCTCGGGATTATACACAATACTATTCCAGGCGTTTTTCATCCTGAATATGAGATTCTACATAACAGTGAGTTCTTCTGTTGTCCAGTTACATTTAGTTTTGTTATTCTCACAATTGGTTTGCATCAAAGGTTAAATATATAACCTGATTATTACACGAGAGCTGACCAGTACACAGTGGTTATTTTGTTTGTGTAATTTGGTACCACAGCATGCGTTAACAACACTATTCATTACTATCAAGCAAAAATGTTAAAGAAAACAGGGTTTCATTTTACAATAAACACAATCTGATTTAGGAGAAAAGACAAAAACCGAATGGCGTAATTGTCTAAATCATGGTCATCTACTCTCCAGTCTATCTGAACTACAATGCAAAAGATATATCATCGACACGATACGTCTTTATAGACCAAATGAATCACATCAATCACACCTAAGACTATGAGCAAACACGTTCCAGAAGTCAATTTGAACTTTAAGGCTTATGAACTGCCAAATTATATTTGACGTCCTCCAATGTTTCCTGGCACTAACTTCGTTCACAAACGTTTGAGACAATAAACATAGTCACTGTCCATGGACTGTTAGATTTTAAGCACTCTCCAGGTTATCATGTTTGTAAGATACTTACTTACTTACTTACGCCTGTTACTTCCAATAGAGCATAGGCCGCAGACCAGCATTCTCCAACCAACTCTGTCCTTGGCTTTCCTTTCTAGTTCCATCCAATTCTTGTTCATTTTTTCTCATTTCTATCTCCGTTTCCCAGCGTAATGTGTTCTTTGGTCTTCCTCTTTTCCTTTGGCCTTGAGGATTCCATGTGAGGGCTTGTCTTATGACGCAGTTGGGTGCTTTCCACAATGCGTGTCCTATCCACTTCCAACACTTCTTCCTGATTTCTTCCTCTTCTGGGATCTGGTTTGTTTTTTCCCACAGTTGGTTATTGCTAATAGTGTACGGTCAACGGATTCGAAGTATTTTGCGTGGACAACTGCTAATAAACACCTGTATCTTCTGGATGATTGCTTTCGTAGTTCTCCAAGTTTCCGTTCCATACAGTAGAACTGTCTTGACATTTGTATTGAAAATCCTGACCTTGGTGTTGGTTGACCGTTGATTTGAGTTCCAGATGTTTCTCAGTTGTAAATATGCTGCTCTTGCTCTGCCGATCCGCGCCTTCACTTCTGCATCAGATCCACCCTGTTCATCAGTGATGCTGCCCAAATATGTAAAAGATTTAACATCTTCCAAATCTTCTCCGTCAATTGTGATTGGATTGGTGCATGTTGTGTTGTATTGAGAGAAGAGTGATGCTACTGTAGTTATCACAGTTGCTGAGATCACCTTTCTTTGGTATCGTAATCAGATGTTCTTCTTTCCAGTCTGTTGGTACTTGTTACTCATCGTAAATCTTATTGAAGAGAATGTGGAGTATCTTTGCAGTTACCGCTACGTCTGGTTTCAGTACCTCTGCTAAAATTTTGTCTGGTCTTGCTGCTTTGCCACTCTTGATTTGTCTGATGGCCATGCTGATTTCTTCAATTGTTGGTGGGCCAACATTGATTGGGAGGTCCGTGAGTGCTGCTTCGATGTTGGGTGGGTTCAGTGGAGCTGGTCGATTCAAGAGTTCCTTGAAGTGTTCTACTCACCTGTTTTGTTGCGCTTCAATGTTGTTGATTACCTCGCTTTTCTTGATTTTCACTGGTCGTTCTGGTTTGCGGCGATTTCCAGAGAGTTTCCCTGTCGTGTCATACAGTTGTCTCATGTTTCCTTCTCTTGCAGCCTTTTCCGCCGTCGTTGCTAAATCTTTTACATATTTACGTTTGTCGGTTATGATGCTCCTCTTCACTTGTTTGTTTTTTTCTGTGTATTCAGCTTGTGCCTTGGCTTTTTCTGCTCTTGTTCGACTGGTATTGATTGCTGCCCTCTTGTTCCTCCTTTCTTGAATCTTATCCAGTGTATCAACAGTGATCCATTACTTGTGATGGTGCTTCTTGTGACCCAGGACCTCATGACATGTTGAAGTGATTGCCTCTTTGATCCCCTTCCATTTGCTCTCCACAGTAGTTCCTTCTCCATTGAGTAGATCATGAAAGGCCTGGAACTTGTTGCAGAGGACTATCTTGAATTTGTTGAGTTTGTTAGTATCTTGAAGAAAGGCCGTATTGAACTTTTGTGATATTGTCCTCCACGTTGTCCAGTGCTTTTTGAGTTTCAATTTCATCTTGGAGACCAGCAAGTGATGATCTGATGCTCTATCAGCTCCTCTCTTGGTTCTCACGTCCTCCATATTCCTCCTGAACGTTTAGTTGATGCAAATATGGTCGATTTGGTTTTGTGTAGAGTGATCCGGTGAAGCCCATGTGTTTTGTGTATGCGTTTATGTGAAAATATGGTGCCGCCTATGACCAGTTTATTGAAGGCACATAGATTTGCAAATCTCTCACCATTTTCGTTTCTTTCTCCCAGTCCGTGTCGTACCATGATGTCTTCATATCCAGTGTTGTCCGTTCCAACCTTGGCGTTGCAATCTCCCATCAGAATGGTCAGGTCCTTTGTTGGGCACTTCTCGACTATTGACTGCAGCCTATTGTAGAATTGATCTTTAGCGTCTTCATTGTAGTCGTTGGTAGGTGCATAGCATTGGATGATGTTCATTGAAATACCCTCTTTGTTTTAAACGAGGCTTTGATGATCCTTGGTCCCTGAGATTCCCATCCTATAAGCAAATTTTGCGCTTGTTTGGACAGCATCAATGCAACTCCTTGTGTATGTGGTGCATTGTTTTCTTCATGGCCGGAATATAACAGGAGCTCTCCTGTAGTTAGTCGTTGTTGTCCAACTTGTGTCCAATGTGTTTCACTGATCCCAAGTACCTCTAGGTTGTATCTTCTCATTTCTGCAACAATTTGTAAGGCTCTCCCGGTGTCCCACATTGTACGAACATTCCATGTATCTAAATAAATGGTCGCTCTGGTTGTCAGAAGGGGCATCGGCCTCGTAACTTCCGAAGGAATTCGGCTTTCATCATGAGGCGTCATAGTTCTTCTAAATGTAAACCTTCTTACTCCCAGGGCAGAGTTTGAAAGATTTGAATGATTTTTTTCCAGTTAGCGTCTTTTAGCGAGTTAGTTTTCTACGGGATGGGGTCGCCAACCCCATACCTAACCCTCCTCCTTCATCCGGGCCTGAGACCGGCAGTAGTTCCTGGAGGGACTCCAGGCGGAGTTATGTTTGTAAGATAACTACATTTCAACCCACGCCTTCCCAGAAACCATCAATGAACGAACGACGATAACTTATTCAAACTAAAACACTTAGACTATCAAATTCAAGTTCATTCATTTCGGTTAGCTGTCAGAATTAAGGACACTGGAGTAATATTTCTGCTTAATAATTAGTTCAGTTGACAGAACACCGTTTTACCTGAATAACAGAATCTCCAAAAAACGATTTCGTACGGGTTTTGTCAAACAGATATTAAAGATCTCTTAGCCACTCAAACGCTCCTAGAACCAACGGTGCAGCAGCAAAATAATATTCTCAGACGATCAGATTAAAACGTTCATAGTAAGTAATAATATTAATCTTTAAAACTTCCTCATGAAAGATGATTGTTCATTTAACTTTACCTGTTCACTTTAATCTCGAAAGGAAGGTGATAACTCGTGTCCAAATTTATTCTGTGTTAAGATATACGTTTATTTAAACCAATAGATATTTATTACGCTGATATACAAATATCTTCTTGATTTTCATTTTTTCAGATGAATTACTGGCTGTTAAATGGTATCTTCGGACATATGTTGATGGTAAATATAAGTAAACATTGAATGATCATTTGATAACTTGTGAATTCTTAACACTTTAAATTTCACTCATTGTGATTACTCACACTTTAACTGTTCATGTTGTGTAATTCAATTTTTCCCAATGACTGACAAAAATAATATTGTGGGAGGTTTGTAGAAAATGAGTGCCAAATTATACGTGGAAGCCATTGATCATTTAAACACATTGACTTCAACCTGGAGGACAGCTAACATTCTCTAAAATAAACTACACTCAAAGAGTAAGAAATGAATGAATGAAGGTGTAGCGTGGTGTCGAGTCGCGGTTGAATATGAACACCACTACAAGATGACTACTTGCCAGTTAACCGATAAAATCCCCTGTAAGCCAAATATAAGAAGGCAGTTGATGGCTGTAGTCGAGATGTATTTGTTGGCGATCTCGTGGTACCGAAAGGATACCGAGATCGTGCCAGAGGAGTACAAGCGTGGTTACCAAGCGTAACCGAACCTGTGCAAGGTCACAGTCAATCGAGTAGTAGTAATATAGCGGTCTTTAACACAGTTAAACAAACGAGCACAGTAAAATAATCATTGGTACAATAGATTATAATCATAAATGTTTTCATTAAATCAATCGCGTTCTCGTGATAAAAGTAAGTCACTGCAAAGGCACAATCTAGTTTGACTTATGGAAAAACTAAGACTGAGGTTCAACTTCGTTGAAAGGCTTCAGTGGAACTTGGTGTGAAGTCAGTTCTTTATAACAAATAAATTTTGTTTTATGTTCGTCACGAAGTCATTTCTGTACACAGCGAATTCATTTACACATTGACTCACATTCACATATTATTCAATCAATTCAGAAAATCATTAAGACGATAATGTCTTAAAGTATTCACTCCGTATATTTAACAAATAATTCTTTGTTCTTTATAAACACTATGGTCAGAGTCAGGCAATCGATTGATTTACCGGTGAGCATATAAACTCTCAAGTTCCATTCGTGAAAAAACACTGTACAACAAGTGTCATATGTTCCTAGGGTTGATTATTTTGAAAAGAAATATATAAAATATTGCAAAACACTGAATACCTCTCACGCTTCAAGGTCTAAGCGTCTGAGATTCATTTTGAAAGAATCATGTTTGTTTCATTTACACGACGTTCACATGATAATATTCAATACAAATTCAACTTAAAAAGAATATTTGCGATAACACAGTAAATGTTTGACTAAACATGGTGATTTTTGTGAGTAGATATATACACTGCCACATCTAACAATAACATGCTCATCATTATTCCCTCACAGTTCTAAATATTGATGGTATTGCGTTTGCAGGTCTCACAGCCAAGGTAACTAACATGATACATAGAAACGGGAAGATATCTTTCTATTATGAGAATGTAAGTTGCACAGTTGAGTGTGAATACATTTTTTTCAAGCACTACAGATTAATCTACTATTCTTGTAAATGAGTATCGTCGAATGCATCATGATACATTGAACACGACTGAAAGAGATCAACTGTTATAATGTACAAACAGAATATAAGACACTATTAATAGCCTTTGAACGATACAGAATTTATTCTTCTACTTGTTAAAAACGGTGAGTAATTGAAAGGAAAGTACCTTCAAAACAAACGATGATGTCTCTGTGCAAACAAAATAGAGACGGATAATGTATTTTAAAGTACCGTACAGGAAGTCATATGCTACCAAGCTTTGTTTCATCTTGTAATGATAATTTGATCAAAAAATCTATTTTTGAGTCTTCTGAGTGATCTGATGCTTAACATGTTGATCATTTTACAGTACGTATATTTTTGAATGTCAATCTTTGATATTTCACCTGTTTGGAATACAGTAGCTGGTGGGTTACTTGAAAGGGCTTGTCAATAAAAGATTTTATGTATGTTGAACTTAATACGCGTACACTATTTCTTAGTGACCAGCGGACATTGTGGAAATGACTATTCTGAAAAGTGAACGTCAGTAGATGGACGTAATCACGTCACATGATGAGAAATTCACACACGACACCCATGCGGTTATTCAGATCGAGTCTTCATTTCGGCAGACGTAGACATTCATCTCACAGTGTGTCCATGATATCCAGATCGTTCATCAGACTTTAGTGAAGTTGACAAATGGCATCATTCAGAATATGCATGTGGACTGGGTAGAGGATGGTTCTGAGTTAGCTGGTAATATCAATATGCTTACTGTGTGACTAATTGTCTCTGAGTAATTTATTATAAATGATGACACAGTACTTCATTGATCAGTTGTTTTGGACATAGTTGTTTGTGTGTTCACTGACGCTGACTCAGACTTCAAATAATCCATTTCAGATACCTACGGATCCTGAGGAAGATGACATGTACTCTAAGATTCATTGTGCAATTCGGTGTGAAAAAAAGGTGGAAGGTAATAATTAATGCTATTATTTTGATGTAATTTAAACTCTTTCAACAGCCTCCTGTTAGAGTTATATTATTTTCCATTCGTACGTGGTTATCTGCATATAAATTTCTTGCTGTCTACATTAATCAGTTGTTTCGCGCGTGATACAAATTGATAAAATTGTCGTTGAAGTGTTGAGGAAAATTGTGCAAAACAAAATCAATTAGTATTTGTTGACGATTGACCAACCTAATATTCTGAGTGATATAATTAAAATGTGTGAATATCATTGTGGATATCTTTTGGAGAATGCTTTCTCATATGTTTAATGATCCAGACAGAGATATAAGATCGACAATATTCGGTAGACTGTGTATTCACTCATCTATCCACTCGCTCACAGAACGAACTTGTCGTACTCAATCATATCACTACTCAAAGCCAAAAGAAGTGTTCCTTTTATCAAACCGAAAGGAACGAGTAGTACTTGTAACTGATAGTTATTTTATACAATGTTCAATCGCCATGACACACTGATTAATATGAGTTTCAAGACAAGCGTGAGATTCATTGTTTCGTGATGGAATGTGAGAAAATTCACGAAATATTTAGTCAAGAGGTTGAGGTGTCACACTGATACTATTGTAAAATGAATCATAAATCTAACGAAATCATTCTTCATTCACTGTTTAAACACTGGTCACTTTCAAAACCAGTAGTGATGTAGAGAATGTTGTATGAACGTCACTGTATCTGTTGTCAGAGATTTTTCAATTCCATACTTTATTAATCATAAAATTATACAGACGAAAATTAAAATTTCAAGCGTCTTTTTTCTATTTAATGCATAGAAGAAATTGTGAGAGCACTTGAAATAATTGTTTCTAAAGAATGGATCAAAAGTGGCACATCAGTGGAGTTTGAACCCATCGAGAGTATGTTGAACCTTATTTAATCATCATCAACTGTTTCCACACTTGAATACATCACTTTTGTTTAATCAGACTGTAACTTCCATGTGTAATTTTATTCGGCTCTTTAGAGATATCCAGTTGCACTTTACTTACTACTTATGATTATTATTTATTCAATAAGAACACATTTTGAACTATAGAAGTCTTCACATTGATGAAATTGTCTTAGAACCAAAACCACAAAACGATGGGTGAGATGACATAATTGTCGAGAACGTTGATCGTCATTTGGTAGATTGAATAGTCACGAGGAGGCGTCCATTGTTTTTTCACAAAGTATATGGAATATCAAATTTTTTTTGGATATTGAAATAGTGAAAACACTTCATGTAATTGTGATTACGTTGGAGGTAATAGTTTTATTTCTAAAATCTCTTATTTGTCCTACTTGTTTGATAGATCGAAAACGTAGACAAATTACGCGTTCCAATTACATTTTTTCATTGTCAACACATATGTACATTATCAACATTACTGAGGGTCTTTACGGTATAAGAATGTTTCTTTACTCATGAATATGTACGGTGAGTGGATAAAAGCTATTCAAAGACTATTCAAATCACATTTCGACTACCGAGAGAATAAATCCATTATCTAATGTTCGTATCGTTTTCAGTGTTGATTGATTTCCACTAGTCCTACAAGTCTGAAGTCCTAACTGACATCAAACAGACTAGAATGTGGTAACATATTTTGAAACGTTCCATTATAAAAGGTCAATGAAAGATCGATGATACCTCAATGTTGATTTGTAAAGCAAATTCACTCTTTCCTTTTGTTCGATTGAATCAAACATAATTGAAAATGCGTTTTCAGCCAGAGAATAACTGACTTTCGAAATAGTCAATTTTATTCCATTTGAACATGCTGCCGTGAAATGTGAGTGACATGGAAAATGTACTAAATGTCACATTACGCAATGTGATAGCAATTTTCCAATGAAAAGAATAGTCACTAAACTCTAAACTCATCATGATCCCAATAAGTTATAATTACACGTGTTATTCTTTTATCATTTCATTGATAACTTACAATACAGTCAACCCTATTTTTTGTTTACATAGGAAATTGTTCGGAGAACAATTCCATCAATGAATGTCTAAACGTGACAACATCAAATATGAAATGCTTTTGGAGTGAAAAAATCAACATGTGCATTAATAGCAATGACAAGGATAGTCATAAATCGAATGAAACTAATTACCGTGTTCAAGTAAGTAATTGTTAAAATTAATTGATTGTTTACAATGTCACTATATTTCACATTGTAAGTCTATTTACTCGAACGAAATTTTTAATACCACGAATACGTACTTATTGACATTCATCACTCGGTTACTACATCAAAGCTGTTGTTGACGCATATTTTTGAACTGCAGAACAAACAAATCACTGATGGTCACTTTGGAGATGAAATACAGACAACTATTGTAAAGATTGAACACTATTTGCTTTTAATATTCGATAGTTGTTATTAACGCTACTGTTTTGTTTCTCTTTAGAACGTGACATCTGGGATGACTGAACACAATAACACACTTCATTATCTTTATATTGTGATACCAATAGTCGTGTCATTTTGTGTTTTATGCATTGGATGTATTATTTGGCGATGGTTATATAAGAGAAAGAAAGGTAATTTATGATTTTTTAGAAAAGTGCTAAAACTTGTTTTTATCATTTTCATCGAGTTGCTTTTGTTTCGCATTTCACCAGGAAACTTTTCTATCATGTTATCCGTTTCAATTAGTTGGACAAGTTTCTTTATGCAACGATGTATCATTTTTATGATTATTAACAAATCAATAAACGTAGTTCTTTAAATAATTGAAATCATGAGTCAATTGAAACTAGACGACGATTGAAAACCTGGAAGCACTGTACGGTCGTTTCGTCCTATTTTGAATGTCTTCAGCAGTGTGTATCCACAAACCGCCTCTCTGAGGAGTAATTGCTAGAATCTGAGCTGTCGAAATAAACTTCATACGTTGCTTACAATATTGCTATCTTTCACATCGTAAACCCCTTGACTCAGAAGAACATTTTATTACTAACAAACCGTAATGATTGTTATCCATCTCTCAGTGAACAGCTCAAAGCTTTGTATGAGTTGACGATATCTATTCAGATATGAGCAAAGCAGCAAACAATCAATGGAAGCGTGGTTTAATACAAGCGTTTACAGTTTTCTTAATTTTTCAGCCCACTGAACATGTAATGACTTCAGAAATGCAGGATGACACCGTATATCTATGTGAATTCTTAAACAATACCGATGAAATAGGTTCGAGAGATGAAACGTAGTCATGTTTGAACAATTAGTAAGAGTTTGTAGACTCTCATTGTTGAAGTGCAGAACAAGGATTTTGGATTGCTGTTGAGAAATATGTATCCTCGATGAAATGCTTCCATCACAAATAAAAGTTGTCAGTTCATTGTAGGATAGTGAGAAATTATCACATTGATTGTTCATTAGTCACATTGTACAAATGCAAACCCTTTTACCATTTGTTCAATTCTACTATGTAATCAATACTGAAAACAGTGTAACACTGATAATTAATTATTTGATGAATGTTTCTCATTTTGTAATAAATGTTCTGTTTTGTTTATTCACAAGAACAAGATTTTTGATCAGTCGAATGTAGAATCATTCATCAATTATAGTGAAACCATTTTTGAAAGCATCACAGTGGAAACCGTTAACGTTAAGAACATTAATCAATGAATAAAAACCTAATCCTTGAACTATTTCATTTTTATCGTAATACTACTTTATGAAGAAAGTAAATAATTCCATTACTTGTAATTGTTGATACTACCAATTGTTGGTTCCCGTGTTGTATGCACGGAATGTTGTGTTGTGTTTGTATAAACTAATGATTCCTTTGTAGTTGCTTACTAAGTTATTTCAAATTTCAAATACAATACATTCATTCATGTCTATCTAATACCTCTTGTTTAAATTGTGTAATTTCTGACATTTCTAGTTTGTACTATAATTCAAATACTCTTAATCATTGCAGTATGTCGTATAGTTAGGATTATCTAAAAGAAATGAAAGTAATGTATGATTCTTAGAAACTACTTATAATTTGTTCTTATTTGACCTGAGTTGTTCCTTTTTTGTATTTTATTGGAAAATTTTTTGTTGTACATTTCAATAGTTTGAATATCGTTTCATTGAACAATGTTACATGTTTTATTAATGATCATTTCTGTGATTTTGTTTACAAAATATAAAACCTAATTGGATTTTTGCATTATTCTTTACATGATTATTTACTGCTTAATGAGTGCCGGTGTTATAACTTGTGACCGCCGATTAGAGAACAGTAGCTTATCGATCGGATCAATGACGTGTAAAACACGGGCGATCAGCCTACAGTTCTGATTGATCCTGCTTTCCGCCTAGCTTATCCTGTTAAATCCATAACACCAATCCAAGCCTCTGCTATATGAACCATTATATTTCAAACACACTTAGTTTATATACCAATCAAACAGACCACAACGTACCAATAAAATATGAAACAACATTTGTACAAGAATTAGCCAGATGTGGCTGTGAATGAGGGAGGTAGTAATTAATATACTGGGTATAACTCAAGAATGGTAAAACGTATAATAATAGTTTATGGGTCACAATAAAGCTTATAATAAGACGAATATGAGTATGCATAGTTTAGTTACTTAGTAATTATACAATAGAAATATACGATTAGTATTGGTCCATCAATAGATCCCAAAAGTCACCATTCATTATTATTGTCGGGACATAACAGTCGGATAACAAACTATATTTAATTACATATTGTGAAAACTGATTGTGAAATAAGTTTGGATAGTTGAACTTAATCTCAAGTAAGAAACAGGAAAAGTGTTGATTGAATAAAGTTGTAACACTCCGACCACAGTATCACTAAGTAAGATAACAGATTTAAAAAACAAACACTACAGTGTCTCTGTCAGTTGATGATCACGTCATTATACACAATTTATTTAGTAATCGTTTGCACTTATGCGCAATTATGAGAAACGATATTGCACATATTCATTTGTATCGTTTGTTTGAATACTCCTGTTAATGTTACGGACTACAAATGATCAGTCATTGTATTGAATATGTGTGTCGCGGGTGGAAATGCCTGCGTATTGCGATTACGTCACGAATAATATAAACGGAGGCGGATGATAGCCAGCAGTGGGGTGCAAGTCATGGGTCACTTTATTATTTTATTTGACACTTGTCAGCCAAATATGGCTTAATTATTTAGTTATCATCACATTCTCATTTTCTTCTCATCTCACTCAAACTCTGCAAGTAAACAATTGTCTACTACTCATGTGGTTGGATTTCATTTTCTTTAGATTCTCATTCGTTACTCATGCTATACTCTTTCCTTATTCCTACAAACTCCCCCATTCATCGGGTTGTTATGAACAGAAGTGAACAGATTTAGTGAGCGATGTGTTTGAAAGCGAAATATCTTTCGGTGACTTGCCTTTAATTCAATTCAAGAAATATATTAATTTCTTTATATTATTTTAATTGTTAGCGATTCAGTCAACAACGTTTCTGAATTTATCAACAAATATTAGGTGACAAATACGTTTTCAAGGTTTCTGTGTAAATTCATACTTACTAGGTTCATTGCAATTAATATCTATCACTATTTACTGATCGTTATGATGCGCAGTGTGCATTATCTGATGTTGATTCACAATATGTTGTTCAACAGGGTTCACCAAATGACTATTGACTAAGAACATAAGGTTGGAGGAGAATGTTTGCATACATAAAAAGCGAGAGACGTGGATTTATATACATGAATTTCAGTCCCTTGGAAAGTCGATCTCTCTGAGCATTTCATCGGAAATTCATGTGTAAAAGGTGTTTTAAATAGTGGAAAACCTCATATACTCCATGGTAGAAGTTTGTAGTACCGTTACATATTATTGCTGGATTCTGAGCTATCTGTGACTAAAGATAGATTGGCAAGTTTTACCTCTTCACTAAGAGCGGTATTTGTGGTTTGTAGCCGTGTAGCAACTACAAAGTTTGGTAGTTTTTCAAAATGTACATAACTAACTCATTCCCTTCATTTCATAGTCTTAAAATCTGGTTTTCCGATTCAGTTGCCTACGTTATCCTATCATTCTCTATCGACATTTTGCCCACATGATATAGTATGTCACCAAATTCTCTGAGATCAAATTCTATTCTATGTTAGTAAACTTAATTTATTATGTATCGTAACAGGTATTGCACTCAATCTATTCTCCATGACAATCTGGACAAATATTCAAAGTCATAAAAATCAAATCTTCATTTTAGTATTTAGGAGACTATTTTTTAAGAAATTGTTGAACCGTTTTCAGTAAATGATTGCTATTAGGAAAGATAATATCATCACCAAGAAGAAGAGTGTATACTTACAGTTTTAAAAGCGTTGAGAATGATTCCGCTATAAAGAGAATAACTTGTGTGATTCAATTGTCCTTATCTTAAGAAGAATTTTCCAATGTATGTACTATTAACGAAATCTTGACAATGATACAGACGAGAAGTTAGTCATTTTCAAGTTCAGCCACTTGATCTCTTATTCCAAAGTATAAAATGAGCAATATTTTATGAGCATCATACTGGCTTATCACTAGGTATTAGAATATGTCATATTCATATAGTTGTTAATGATGATTTTATTCTATCGACCAAGTTGCAACGTAGTCACCGAAACAAAGTTCATGAAAAGTTATCCTGCCCTGCAACTTGATTAACGGAAATCAATCAAAACTAAGAACTAGACTAACATGATGTTCTTTACTTCTCACCCATCAATCAATGTGAATACGTTGGTCTTGAAGGGAGTCGATCACAACCTGAGTTCTTGAATATTAATGCCTCCGACTAAGATCCTGGATAAAGCTAGTTCAGAATCCTACGCCGCGCATCAGTTCTCCGGATGGTTTATTTACATCATGATGGTCATAGCTAGATAAAAAGCAATGCTTCCTACCAATAAGAAGTATTATCTAAAGTGAGTATTATAATATTACACATATGAATCAGATGTCTTAAATGTATCAAGTGACTTGGATGGCTTTTTCTTATGTAATCTAATAACTGATAACGACCATAATTCTTTAATTTTTAAACATTATCTCAACAGGTCTAGAAAGCTATTTCATTGTCAGAAGGGGTTGCGTGAAGATTTTAGAAATTTTACTAGTTGAAATCATGAGCCGATTGAAGCTAGACCAGCATGGAGAACCTGGAAGCACTGGACGGCCGTTTCGTCCTAGTATGGCACTTCTCAGCAGTGTGCATCCACGATCCCGGCCCCTGTGCGATTTGAAGTTAGACATTAACACCGCTGAATGCCGGCTCATTGGTCTAGTCGTTAAGCGTTGGCGCGCGAGACCGACAGGTCCTGGGTTCGAGTCGCGCGTAGGGGTTCGTGGATGCGCACCGCTGAGGAGTCCCATACTACGACTTCCAGGTTCTCCACGGTGGTCTAGCTTCAATTGTCTCATGATTCAGCCAGTGCTATTTCGTTGATTGTTCTTAGATGCTCAAAATATTTAGGGCAAGCTAGATATATGAGTGAAAATTCATTCGAATAGAAACTATCTAGCTTATCAACTATACCTAAATGTGACTATACATTTCTATCAAAAATTTGGTATTCACTAATCATTTGTGTGATTAGTTCAATTTTGTTTAAACTAATTTAAGTGACTGACAACACTACAGTTTATTTCGACAAATAACAAGAAGAAATGCGTCGTAAAAACAGTACACAAACAAACTATTCGCAAACATAAGCATCGAATACGATGTTCCAGGACAAACATACACCATGAATATAATTTGGCATTCATTTTGATATTTCGGATTATAAGTAATGGTAAAATTATTAATGTGTTTTTCCGCAATGGAATACGTCAAGTGAATGTAATGGTACCCTAATGTTGATAGTGACATCGATACTGGAATCCAGTAAGTTCAACTTCAAATGCCGAAGTATCATCTAATGATATGATTGGTTCAGGTAACTAGTTATTTACTTAACGAGTAATCACAATTTAGTAATAAAATAATACAAAACGTAACGAATTGGCGATCATTATTGAAGACCAAACTGTGTCTTGTCATTTTATGAATACAGACTGATAGTGGAAATAATTATGTTCTGAAATACAGTGCTAATTGGAAACAAATGATTATAAATACAGTGTACTGACAATACATCAATCGGATATATTATTATTATGATGAGATATAATTATAGAATGAAAGGTTTAAGAGATTTTTGGCCTTCATAGGATGAAACCATTACGATAAGTTTCTTGTTTAAATTTTCATTTCACCTACTTCAGTCGTAAGTAGTATCAGTACTTCTTCAAAGTAGTTTACTCTAAGGTTCATTTTACAAAACCTTACTTAGTGCAAGAGTTATAATTATGTACTCTAGGTGTTAATATTACGAGAACTTGGGTTATTATGTGTACATGTCAACCGTCAACAAAACCATGAACAACGTAATTTCTCGAGAACATCATTTCACCAGTTTATGTATGTTCTGTAGATACTCTTTTGAAGCATTATAAATTATATTTTGCTTTGTATG